ATATATATATATATATATATATATATATATATATGCTATATAAATTTACAATATCTATGAACTCGTTTTGCTGAAACACGTCATCTAGGAATGTTTGGGTTTCCCACAGTGCACACGCAGTCCACAGCCAACACGGCGCTGCATGCGATTTCCATAGCTTGCTTTAGCACTCAATATGACGGGCTGATAATAATACAGGGTGCATAGTAATAATATAAGTTATGTTGTGGGGCGGTCGTTGTCCAGTGGTTCAGGTGGTGGGTGATACACCTCGAACCTCCACGCTCTTTTGTAACTTCATTTCTATTGATATGCTCCTGACGCAGGTGTTCATTTTCATCTAACGTGCTCTAGACAGAGCTTTCCGTACCTAAATGATCCGCCGCCACTGACACATATGTCCCCATTCAATTAGTCTCCTCCTCCTGATGTAGCAGTTCGTATTCATCTAGTCCTTTACTGATGCAGCCTTTGATATTTAACTAGTCGGAGGAAAGCAAACAGAGAACAGCGACAAAACGTCGAGTTCGCCTTTTCTGCACGTGGGGAGGTAGGCGACTGCGACTGCTAAGTAACGATTCGTCTAAAAGAGTATTTGTTTTACAAATATATTCTCTTGCAGTTGTACCGCTTTTCTTCCCACATATAACGCATCTTTAAACCAAGATCCCGCCTTCAACTTGGGTCCGTGTGTAGGGCAGCGTGCTCACCTGCAGGCGCCCTTAAGGCGCTTCTCTTGCTAATTCCCCTTGGCATATACAAACACTAAAATGAGCTAAACGCTTTGCAAGTGTACTTTGTAGTTTGTAAATAGGGAAACGGGGGAGATTGATTTGTGAGATTTCAGAGAAAGCAACCGCCTACGGACAGTACAGGGGTGTATGCGAGTCTGAGGTGCATTACCGTCTAGAAATGATTGCATCTTATCGAACCAGATGTGCTCTTTAGTCTCGTCTTCGCATGCAAATACCTTACTAAGTGTAAGGAACAACTTCCTTTTAGCTGATTTAGACCTGAAAACGAGCAGCGAGGCTGCTGGCACAGTGGGGCATCGGGGCCTAGTGCAATGCTACGGTTGCTAGGGTCTTTAGCTTACCGCATTTAAGGCTTTTTTGAGGTGTACCTCTACTTAATTTCACTTTTAAAGGGCAAACATTGAAGAACACTTTTATTTCTTGCAAGAAAGTTCGAGGCAAGCCCTCTTCTGATTTCCTCGCCTTCGCATGCCGCCATGCCAATGGTTCTGTGCCGGTTTCGCGGAGTTTTCCCTTCCTCCCTTTTTACTTAATTAGATTTTCTCGGTTTGTCTTTTTAAACCTATTATCAACTTATTTATGAGATTTGCCTCACTTCATGCACCACGTGAACGCCGACGGCTCCGCAGGAGGCAGCGCCGGACTCTCTGCTTCCCGCCCTCTCCTTGTCGTCTCTCCCTCGGGGTACATGGGGCCTAGAATTCTATCGGAGTCTCTTGGAAGCCCCTCTGTGGGTCGGGGGGCCCTTGTGGAAGCCCCTGCGGGGGCCCCTGTGGGGCCCTTAGCCGCTACGTCTGGACATGTCGTGCCCGCAGGAGGACCTGTAGAAGGGAGTGCAAGGGCCTATGTGGACGCAGAGGCGGTAACGAATTTTGCAGCATCTGCTCCAGGAGCAGCAGCTGCAGGTAACCCTAGGCCAGCCCAGGGGCCCCCATTGGCGAGGCCTGTGGCGGTGCTACCGCAGCGGGTCCCGTCGCGAAGAGAAGAGCGGCGAGGGGCCCCCCCAGTAGAGATAAGCGGGCTTTCGCCAGATTTTCAGTTTACTGAGAAGCCTTCTTGGTTGCGGCGAGTATTGGTTATTTTAATTGTCGCTTGCGTCTCACCTTCTCTACTTAAAGAAGATCCTTTTCCTCCTCTAAAGGAAATCATCGCGAGACAGGCCCCTCTCTTCAGAAGTGGATAAAGAAACAATTGACAGACAAACAAAAAACAAGAGGAACAAAGACGGAGCAAACGTGTTGTTTTCTTCTCTCTGTGGTATTCACATACGTATGGCGCAGCGATGTGATTGGATGGCGTCTTACCCTACTACATCTTTATACGTACACTTGGAAGTGTGTATGTGCACATATACGCATGTATATACATATATGCATTTTTATGCATACACATGCGTATGAATGCATAAAAATGAATAGAGTGCATAGCTGCATGATGTGCACTTGGGTCGATGCGCTCTGATACATATGCATGGAAACTTGTATGCATGTTTGCTGAAAAAATGTGCGTTAAGTTGTATAAAATAGTATATATATATGTTTGTGTATATCATTGGCGTTCGCAAGAGGTAAATTTCCACGTATCGGCTGTTCGGGTGTTTGCCTTTGTTCTGCGAAGGCCAGGCAGGCAGTGGAGGGCCCCCGGGGGGCCCTCTGCGTTCCGTGGGGCCCCATGGGGGCCGCGTTTTGCTGCTTTTCACCAGCTGGTATGACTGGAGGTTAGTGGGCCTTGTCGTTGTCACTTTTTATGTTTCGTGCTTGGGAAGTCCCTTCTACTGTTAAACAGACGGTGGCCGGCCGGTGACAATGCATGCATGCATGCATTCAGGTGTATCGACAGGCAGCGACTTGCTGCTGCTGCCGCTTATGCTGCTGCTGCCTCGACTACTCATTAACAGCCAACGCTATACCAGCAGGCGCAACAGCAGCAGCCACAACAGCTGCTGCTGAGGTGCAGCACTACGGTGATGGACGAGTTCGCTGCAGCCCAAGCGGGCGGCAGAGGCCCAGTGTCTTGAGGGGCCTCTTTGCTGCTGCTGCTGCTGGGGGGTTTGTTTGTGCTGGTGCTGTTGTTGGGAGCGCAGTTTTACTCACCTTACTGGCCGACCGGAATTCAGCAAAGAGCGCATGGTGCTTCTTGCTGGTGCTGGTGTTGCTTTCTTGCTGCTGTTCCCGTTTTTCCAATTCCAGCATGACGGCAGACAGTCCTTGCCTTCGAACGCTTTCAGGGATTATTTGTCTTGCGGTTGCTGTTGGGTTCTTGTACACCACCCGCCCTCCTCCTTGTCGGCTCCACTCGCCATGGGGGCCCCCCGCTCGCCGTAGGGGCCCCCGGGGGGCCCCCCGGAAGCCCCGCCATTGGCCTGCCGCATCTGCATCCGGCTCGTCCTGCCTCTCTATTTCTAGAGGGGCTAGAGGAGCATCTGATGCGTCATCCCAGAAGCCCTTACGTGCTGAAGAAGCAGCAGCAACAGAGGCCTCCATTTTGTTTAGAAGGACGGAGCGCCGCAGAGCTGCTGCGGGGTTGCTGCAGTTGTCGCAGCAGCGTACGGTTCCTGCTGCGGCTGTAGCAGCAGCAGCCGCAGCAGCACCAGTTGCAGCAGCGGGGGTGTAAGCCTCCCCGAATTGCTGCAGCAGGTACTTGCGTCTGCAACCCACAAGGCGGCAGTAAGACAGACAGGCGTTCAACTTTTGGAGTAATCTGTCTTGCTGTTCTGCTGTATCGCGCTTCAGTTGCTGCAGGTCTTTCGCTGGGCGGCCTGCAGCAGCAGCAGCAGCAGCAGCTTTCAGCTGCTGTTCCCGCTGCTGTTGCAGCACAAACACCAACAACTTATAGTCTGATGGAGAGAAATATAAGATGCTGCGCGCAGGCTGGCCGTCCCGCCCGGCCCTTCCCGACTCTTGATAGAAAGCTGTACATACACCGCAGCAAGCCCTAAACCCTACACATGTGAATAATGACTGCAATTCCCACCCTCAGCCCTAATCACTAAACCCGAAACACTTTGTAGCCTTCCAGATTCTCAACACTAGGACGACAGGGGAGATAGCTGGTTCTAAGGGGTTTAGGGCTCAGGGTTAGAGGTCTAGGGTTAACACATAGGGGTTTAAGGCTAAGGGTGTAGGGTATAGCGGTACGGGTGTACGGTCAAGCGTCAAGGGTTTAGGGCTAAGGGTTTAGGAGTACGGGATTAGTGTTAAGGGCGTCAGTTTAAAGATTTAATGTTAAAGGTTTAGGGTCAAGTGATTACGGTGAAGGGTTTAGGGTTTGCAATGAAGGGCCAAAGGCTACGGGTTTAGTGTTTAGGGTTGTGGCTGTTTGCCTTCGATGGTTTTTGTGAGGGAGAAGTGCACGACGAAGCGGACGTGGGGGTTATCAACGCCGAGGCCGAAGGCGACAGTGGCAACCAAAACCCTAAACCCTAAACCCTCAGACCAGCGGCTCTGTAGGGTTTTTCTGCTCTTCTCTGGGAGGCCCGCGTGATACGCAGCAGCAGAAACTCCATGTCGATTTAAATACGATGCTAGCTAAACAAAACACAAAGAACAAACAAATAATATCACATGCTGTACAACAAAACAGAAAGGCAGCAAGACAGGGAAGAGACAAGCAACGGAAAGATTAAAGAAAAAACTGGAAGATAATTGAACAAAGAACAAAGCAATCAAACAAACGAAGAAAACGACAAAAAAGGGAACCGAAACAATGAAACGAGACAACAAAACAAGCAAGGACGCAAACAAATACACAAAAACAAGGCGACCAGAACAAACATCTTAGGACGCACTTAACCACACACTACAAACAATGCAAAGAGAAGACAGATAGAGAGAAGAAGTCGACCGAGAAGAAAAACCAAGTGTAAGTAGACAGAAAGCGAAGGCGAAGTTTGAGACAGAGACAGACGCAAAGAGAGAGAGACAGAAAAAACAAGGAGACAGAGAGAGACAGTGAATGAAACAAATATATTAATTCACAAAGAGACGAGAACAAAGAGAGACAGAGACGGAAAGCACTAACGCCCACATCACTAACGCCACACATTATAAAGGAGACGGACAGAGACGAACAGATGAACAGAGACACAGATAGACAAAGGAAATAAACAGCGACATGACGGGACGCAGAGAGGCACAGAGACGAACAGCAGGGGTTAGACAAACAAACAGAGAGAGACAAACAGAAAAACAGATAGGGAGACAAAAATAGACGGAGACGAGCAAAGACAGAAGCAGCTCCAGACAGAGAGACAGACCGACAAACGGAAAAGCGAACGGGGGAAGAGACACACAGAGGCAGACAGAGACACAGAGACAAACAGACAGAGACAGATAGACAGAAACAGGGAGGGTGAGACAGAAAAGCAAACGGAGACAGAGATAGAAAGGCAGAGACAGCGACACAGAGGACTCAGAAGAAGGACAAGAGGATGTACGTTGTTGGATTTGGCTCTTCCTTCGCCTCTGTCAATTTCTAGGTTTAGGGTTTAGGGTTTGGGGCTGTTTGTGCTTTTCTCAGTATGTTATCGTGTGCATCTCACGGCTTCGCAGTCAGTTTTCTTGAGGCAATAAACAATACCCAATTCATCTTTGTGATTTGTTTTTATTTCTTCTGCTAAATCTGCTGCTGCCGCCTCCGTCTCTTCCTCTCTGTCCATACACCCCAGCGCCTCCTCCTCCCCCTCGCGAAGCGGGGGCCCCTTCAGACGCACTTCATAGTAAATGTTCGGCCTAAGCAAAAAGTAGATAATAACATAAAATAATATAGTGTAAAACAGTACAACAATAAAATGCAGTATAATATAAGATAATGTAACAGAAAATAATATAGTGTAATAATTTATGAAAATAATACAACGTAATATAATACAATATAATATAGTAATATAATAATAATCCAAAAAAGACGAGTTTCTCGGCTAGAGGATTCAAACACCAAATGGGAACAAAGACAAAACACAACAGAAAGAAAAAGAAAAACAAAAGATAATGAGAAACAAAACAAACAAAACAAAGACAAAACCAAAAGAGGTGCGAAGAAAACACAGAACACAGAAAAAGAAAACAAACGAAACCAAAAGAAATTAAAACGGAGGCAAAAGCAGTGAATAGGGGAAAAGGAGAGCAAATGCCACAAACAAATGCAACAGACAAATATCAAAAGCATTAAAAAAAGAAGACAGACGGAAGAAACAGACAGAAGAAGAGATAGAACGCGAACGACAGGCACAAGGAGGCAGAGACGGAGACAAAACAAAGACAGACAGAGACAAAAACATGAGGGAAAGAGAGGCAAAACAAAGCAAAGGCAGAGCCAGACAGAAAAAGAGAAACAGAAACAGGCACAGAAACATCAATAGACTAGAGTCAGAAAAAGAGACAGAGAAAGAACCTCTCTCTGTCTCCGCTGCAGATGTCTTTCTCCACTGCTGCTGCGAGTAGAAATAAAACTTGGAGAGACAAAGGAGAAAAAAACAAGAGCAGCAGCAAAACGAAACAAAGATAAGAAGAAAAAACAAACAAACAAACAAAATAATCCATTACCTGTTGAAAGATAAACGAACAACAACCGGGTCCTTTAGCTCTAAGCTGCTGCAGATGTCTTTCTGCACTGCTGCTGTTGCTGTTGCTGTGCATGCCAACACCGGGGTATTCGGCAGCAAACGCCGCAACAAACCCAAACGCCTGACAGAAGCAGCAGCAGCAGCAGCAACAGCAGCGCAAGTGCCACTAGCAACAGAGAGGCAAACGCCACAACCACCACCAACCGGCGACAGCAGAAACGCTGAAAGCAGCAGCAGCAGAAGCAGCGCCAGCAGCAACAACAGCAGCAGCAGTAGCCGCAGCAGCAGCAACAGCAGCAGCAACTTGCCTATAGCTGGCCCTAAAGTCGTGCCCCCAAGATGAAATGCAATGAGCCTCGTCGACAGCCACAAGCGCCACCCCTCCCCCTCCTGCACCCTGCTGCTGCTGCTGCTGCTGCTCTTCTTGCTGTTGCTGTTCCTGCTGCTGCTGCTGATGCTGCTGTTCTTTGTTCTGTCCCTTCTTTTGCTGCTTCTGCTGCTCCATCTGCCGTAACACATCCTGGAAGGAGGAGGTGGCTATCTGCTCGGGGGTAACGAACAAAAACTTAATTGGCCCTGGTATCTGCTGCTGCTGCTGCTGCTGCTGCCGCAGCTGCTGCCCCGGTTGCTGTTGCTGCTGCTGCTGCTGCTGGGTGTTGAGGAGGGTGGCGATGATTTCTTGTCTGTGTTTGGGGGTTAAAGTTGAATTCAAACAAAACGCCGAGAGGCCCCTGGACCGCAGACGCCGAAGCTGCAGCAGCAAAAGACACAGGTGGGTTCCTCCTGCTGCTGCTGCTGCTCGCGTGTTTCACTTCGGCTTTGTCTCTCCTTGACTCTCTTTGTCTGTATCTCTGTTTTTGTCTCTCTGTCTATTTCTGTTTGTTTCTGTTGCTCTATGCTTTTGTTTGTCTTGGGTTTTGCTGCTGTCTGATGGCCCGACGGCGGAGAGCCCAAACCCTAAGCCCTCAACCCTAAACCCTCACCTGGTCCTCAATGAGGGCTATAAGAGGCGAGACAATCAGCACCACCCCCTCCAGCAGCAAACCTGGCAGCATATATGTCAACGACTTCCCTCCTCCTTTGAATAGCACACAAACAAACCAAACAATTAGGGTTAAGGGTTTACGGGTTGCGGTTTGCGTTCCAGCAGACAAGCACAACAACAGTCCTTCACGGTTCCACGGCCAGCCTGTAGTTTTCAGCGCATCTGCACCAAACCCTAAACCCTAAACCCTAATACCTAAACCCTAATCGCCAAACCTGAAACCCTAAACCTTAACCCTAAGCCATATGCCCTAAAACGTAAACCCTAAAGCCCTAAACCCTAAACCCTGAACAATAAAACCCCCAACCCTAAACCGTAAACCCGTAAACCCTAAACCCTAAACCCTAGGCGGACCTGTTGGCATGATGACGAGTGCATCTTTACCCCTGAGCACGGCCCTGACTGCCGCTTCCTGTCCCTCTCTGAATTCTTTAAACCCCCAAACTTTCTTGAGAGCAGCACGAAGAGGGCACAACGGCAAAGAATCTTCTTCTTCTTCGTCGTCTTCTACATCTACTACCACTGTGCCGCCTGCATCAGCTTCTGCTGCTGCTGCTTTCGCTGCTGCATTTGTTGTTGTTGCAGTTGCTGCTGTTGCTGTTGTTGCTGCTACTCCTGCTTGTGGGGAGTGAGGCCCGGTTGAAGCTGCAGCTGTTTTTGCTGCTGCTGTTTTGCAAGGTGCAGCAGCTGTTTCTGCGTCCGGTGTAGCTGCTGCATCGGTGCTGCTGCTGCCTGCTGTTGCTGTACAGGTAGCAGCAGCAGCGGCAGCCAACGGCATTGCCGAGGGTTCACCGCTTGCTGCGGCCGCACTGCTGCCTGAGGACTTCAGCGTTGAGGCCGGGGCAAAGGGGCTCTTTGCCTTACTGCTGGTGCTGCTGCTGCATTTGCTGCTGCGGCTGCTGCTGCGGCTGCTGCTGGTAGAGATGATAGTAGTTGCCTTGTGTTGCAGCAGCTTCTGCTTCTTCAAGGGAGGGGCCCCAGAAGCAACCAGAAGCCCGTCAGAGTTGGACTTCATTTGCTGCTGCATTTGCTGCTGCATTTGCTGCTGCATCTGCTGCTGCTGTTGCAGTAGCATGCGACAGTGCAGCGGCAACAGACCACCTGCAGTTTCTGTTGCTGCTGCCGCAGCTTCTGCTGCTGCTGCTGCAGCAGCTGCTGCTGCAGCAGCAGTGGGCCTTCTCTCCCTGCAGTTGAGTCAAATGTGCGCTTCGGCTAGTATAGGGTTTAGGGTTTAGTGTTTAGTGTTTAGGGTTTACTGTGCCCCTCAGGCTGTCCGTTTTCGCCGCCTTCGGAGACATATATGCCAATTAAATATTTAAAAAATAAATTTTACTCTATTTTATATACAAAAAATGAGGAAGAAGAGAAGGGGTACAGAGGGAGAAGACGCAGTGGGGGGCCCCCGGGGGGCCCCCAAAGAGGGGTGGGTGTCTGATACTACCACCCGTTGCTGCTCAAGTATATACTGTAATAAAAATGTATAAAATAATACATTTATTTTGCACTTTATATTTTATTTTGTTTTAGGGTATAAACATATTTTGAAGTATAATATTTTCCGTGGTGAGTACATTGTACGTACCCACAATATACACCGTACACTTCAGTCTATAAAAATTGTTTTTGTTATTCCTTGCTGCGCAATAATTAAAATATATTTACTATTCAGGTCATCAATGACTATATATGTATGAACAAACACTTATTATTATCTTTTTGAAGTTTTAGAGGCTCTCTAGGAGATCTTCTGCTACGTTTTCTTCTCTTGCAGTTGCTATTACAACGCACAACACCCAACTGCAACAACACAGAAAACATGTTTTAAACTAAATAAAATAGAAAAGATATCTGATAAAATACCACCCAGATTCTGTTCGTAGTTGTGCATATATATACATATATATACACGGGGGTGAGAACGATGATGAATAACTTGAGAACAACATGCGTGCATGCAACAAATAATAATGTGTAAGAATAATACGACTACTACAAGTAACAATAATAATAGAAATAATAAAATAAAAATAGTAACAGTAAAAAGATAGTAAATTTGATATTCTGCATGAAGACGACAAGTTTTACAACGACTGCTTTCTGTCCGTTTGCTAGTTGATTTGTTCGTTTCCACCAGATGAAGACACCAAATAAATTAATTATAAAAAAACAGCGAATGACAATACAGCACACAAAACACTAAAAGGGCCCAGCCCCATAGACTGCTAACTGCAATATCTTCTCCCTACTGAACCCTTCAGGCACGTTATCGGTCTGCTTGTTTGTCTTTATTTGTTCACTCGTTTCTTTGCCTTTGTTTGCCTCCCCTTGTCTGTTCGTCCCCCCCCCGTTTGTTTGCTTGTTTGCTTTGTTCGTTTCGTTTATTTGTTTTTCTCTTTCATGTCAAGCACTGTCCTGGACCAAAGGATAAGATGCCGTCGCTCAGACCTCTACTCTTTTTATTTCCTCTTGGGTTTCCATTTGGGGTGAACGTATAGCACCGCTGCATGCGGTGTGAATACTTGCGAATGCAGTGTTTATTTTCTCTCTGGACTGAGCCGTCTGTACACTGTACTGACGAGAGAACCCTCGAATAAAATAAGCAAAGAGGGCCCCACTGCATGCACAAACTATTAAAAACGCTTCTTCCTCCTGTCAGTACGCCCCAAAGTGCTCGCCTTAGTAATAATCTTGAAACGATATAACTCTATGAAGAAGAAAAGGCCTGAAATAACGCAGCAAGCAAAAGACATTTAAAGCGTAGATGCAGAAGCTTTTACGGTTAGGAGGTGAAATATTGTGAGGGTTTACAAGCTAGACTCAAGGGTTTATTTAGGGTTCGTCTGTTGCATTGCCTGAAGTTTTCATTCTCGACGTCTATGAAGGACTCATCAGGCCCGTGACGGGTATTAGACGTAACCGACAAACCTGCACACAAAACCTAAATCCTAAACCCTAAACCCTAACCCGTGAAACCCTAAACACTAAACCCTAACCATAAACCGAAAGCTCTAAACACTAAATCCTAAAAGAGGCGCTCTCCCTACAGGGTTGTGGCCTATTCACTGAGATGCAACAGCAGCCTTGAATTTCGCTGTTAGGGTTTAGGGTTTAGGATCTAGGTTTTGCCTACGAATACGCTGAAATAGTGATACAAGCAGAGGGTTTAGTTACTGGGTCTAGTTTAAGCGCACCAATCTGCTTGAGGGTCTAGGGTTTGCGCATTAGGGTTTAGGGTTTAGGGTTTGTCCTGCTGCCTCTAAGCAGCAGTTCATCGTTTCGGGTTTGCACCGTCTGACACGTGGAAGTGTTTAGGGTTTAGTCTCCCCTATCGCTCTAAACTAAGGGCGTTTCCTCGGCTTTTCTCTTCTTCCCCTCAAATGAAAATAGCATGGTTTAGGGTTTAGGGCTTGTTTACTTATCCACTTGAGTTTCGAATTCCAGCGTCCTCCCTTAACATGCGTCAGCTGCAGCACAGCGGTGTGAAGCGGGGGAGGAGGCCCCCCTGTGGGCGGCTGCATCGAAGGGCCCCGACTTGGTTCAGAAGCAGATCGATCACTGCCTCTTTCTGATTCTCTGCTGGTGAACAGGGGGCCCCCCCTCCCTCCCGCCCTTGGGGGTTGCGAGGCCCTTCCGTTTGCTGCTGCTGCCCCCCCAGCAGCAGCAGCAGCGCCTCCAGAAGCAGCAGCCGCAGAAGCAACAGGGAAAGAGGGTGCTGAAGCCTTTCCGGGATATTCAACAGTGACGGTGTTTGCAGCTGAGTCGAAGCAAAAGGAACCAACCACCACCTGATCAGGAAGGGGGGCCCCCAAAAGGGCGGGGGCCCTGCTGGGCGCGAATGCCGCCTTGTAGCACTCGCTCTTAACAACACAAAAACAACAAACAAGGCACCCTAAACCCTAAACCCTAGACCCTTAAGAACTCTAAACCCGAAACCCTAAACCCCAAAGACGAAACCAACCTGGAGCAGACAAAACCTCCCAACAGGACGGCAATACCCAAACCCCAAACCCTAAACCCTAAATCCTAAAACCAAGGCAACAAGTCTCACTGATCTCCCCTCTAGGCGCGCCTGTACACATTTCAGCGCCGTCACTGCCATTTGTTTGTCCGCCTCCGACCTGAACAAACAAAAGCCGAAAAATTAATTAGCTCTTCAATTGTCGATACACCCTAAGCAGTTCAAGCAGGCTGCATGCATTCAGCAACAGCAGCTACAGCAACACCACAGGCAGCAACGGCAACAGCAGCAACAGCAGCAGCAACAGCAGAGGCAGCAGCAGCGCCACTGACCTAAGGACGAGGACCTTGTTGTTGGGTAGGAAGCGGAGATAGCGGTAATAGGTGACGGCAATGACTGGAGAGTTTGCTGCAAGGTTGTTAATAAGCTCCTGGCTAATGGGGGCCCCTGTGGGCTGCAGCAGTTGCTGCTGCAGCTGCTGCTGCAGCTGCTGCAGCGTCCTGCGGCGGCGGTCGTCCAGGTGTATATTGCCTAAGTCCCGCACCCGCCGGAGATAAACGCATTTACTGATATAAATGCCATCTAATCGCAAACGAGGGGCTTCAAAAAAAACCCTAAACGAACAGCAAACAGCAGCAGCACAAAGAACTACAGCGGCAGCAACAGCAGCAGCTGCAGTGTAAAATGCAGCATTAGCACCGCAAGCAGCAGCAGCAGCAGCGGCAGCGCATGCAGCAGTAGCACAAGCTACAAAACAATCTACGGCACAAACAGCAGCACCTGCAGGAAAATCAGCAGCACAACCAGCAGCACAAGCGGCAGCACCCGCAGCATCATCAGCAGCAACGGCAACAGCAGCAACAGCAGCAGCACGAGCAGCAGCAGCGGCAGCACGAGCAGCAGCAACAGCAGCAGCAGTATGTGGTACCGTTTCCAGGAGCCTCCGTAGAGTGCGGGTTTTGGGATTTGTTTGAACGCAGTTTTCGTTTTTTCTCTCCAAAGCGACTCCAAGCCCCACAGCCCCTCAAAAAACGCCTTGCAGGTCATACATAGCCTAAAACAACAAAACGAAAAAAAGCAAAGAAAAAAAACAAATACGAACGGACCCGTGTCGCTCTCCTTGAATCAGATAATCACACTGCTTGCTAGATTGAGAGAGACATAGCTAGCTAGCTAGCTAGATGGACTACCAGCGATGCTATTGACAGCTATCTGGAAAGTAAGTGCTGTCGCGGCTAACTAGCTTGATAAATATCTAGCTAGCTAGCTAGTTAGTAATGCCAGCTAGCTTTCTTGCTCGGTATGCAGCTAACTAGCTAGCTGGCTAGCTAGCTATGTAGATCTACTGCTGCAGGGGAGAGAAGAAGAGAAAGAAGACCGACTTGGCTACAGCATAGACATCCAGAAAAAGCAGAACTCGACCCAATAACGCCTCAGGCACATTCATTATCGGACCTGGTGGCTCTGCTTCTGCTTCTGCTGCTGCTGCTGCCTCTGCTGCTGCTGCTGCATCTGGTGAGGATGTCTCGGTAGCCTCTGCGGCGCACCCCGCTCCGTTGTCGGCGCGCTTCACGGAGTGCCTTGAGCTGCAGCTGTTGCTGCTGCTGCTGTTGCCGTTGCTGCTGTTGCTGTTGCTGCCTCTGTTGCATGTGCAGCAGCAGGGCTTGCCTGCTGCTGCAAGCTTGGAAGCATCCCAACTGCATCTTGTGCCGCTTTTGTTTTTATCGAAGTGTACATCGGCGTCGACGTCATGCTGGCAGTTGTTGCCTTCTATTTGGTTTATTCTTTCTCTTTCCCTTGCTCTTTCTTCTTCTTCTTCTTC